AGGACGGTTACGTACCACAAAGACTGTTCAAGTTAGAGGATGGTTAAGTACCACAAAGACTGTTCAACTTAGAGGATGGTTACGTACCACAAATGTTGTTCAAGTTAGAGGATGGTTACGTACCACAAAGATTGTTCAACTTTGAGGATGGTTAAGTACCACAAAGATTGTTCAACTTTGAGGATGGTTAAGTACCACAAAGTCTGTTCAAGTTAGAGGATGTTTAAGTACCACAAAGACTGTTCAACTTTGAGGACGGTTACGTACCACAAAGACTGTTCAAGTTAGAGGATGGTTAAGTACCACAAAGACTGTTCAACTTAGAGGATGGTTACGTACCACAAATGTTGTTCAAGTTAGAGGATGGTTACGTACCACAAAGATTGTTCAACTTTGAGGATGGTTAAGTACCACAAAGATTGTTCAACTTTGAGGATGGTTAAGTACCACAAAGTCTGTTCAACTTTGAGGATGGTTAAGTACCACAAAGATTGCTCAACTTAGAGGATGGTTAAGTACCACAAAGATTGCTCAACTTTGAGGATGGTTACGTACCACAAAGACTGTTCGTTATGATTGTGGTCTACATACACCTTCAACAGTTCGTTACGATTGTGGTCTACATACACCTTCAACAGTTCGTTATGATTGTGGTCTACATACACCTTCAACAGTTCGTTATGATTGTGGTCTACATACACCTTCAACAATACATTATGATTGTGGTCTACACACACCTTCAACAGTTCGTTATGATTGTGGTCTACATACACCTTCAACAATACATTATGATTGTGGTCTACATATACCTTCAACACTTCGTTATGATTGTGGTCTACATACACCTTCAACAGTTCGTTATGAGTGTGGTCTACATAAACCTTCAACAATACATTATGATTATGGTCTACATACACCTTCAAGTTTTAGTAAGTACACTTTTAGGGCTTCATGGCATCCTCAAATTGTGGTAACTAATTTTTAGGACTTCAACACGTCCTCATGTTGTGCCAAGTTCATTTTTTTAGAGCTTCAGGACACCTTCAAGTTTTGATAAGTACATTTTTAGGGCTTCGGGACATCCTTAAATTGTGGTAAGTACATTTTAAGGGTTTCGGGACATCCTGAAGTTGTGGTAAGTACATATTTTTTAGCTTCAGGACATCTTCAAGTTGTGATAAGTACATAGTTTAGGGCTTCAGGACATCCTCAAATTGTGATAACTACATTTTCAGGGTTTCAGGACATCCTCAAATCGTGGTAAGTACATTTGAAGTGCTTCAGGACATCCTCAAGATATGATAAGTACATAGTTTAGGGCTTCAGGACACCCACATTTTGTGGTAAGTACATTTTGAGGGGCTAGGACGTCCTCAACTTGTGGTAAGTACATTTGAAGTGCTTCAGGACATCCTAAAGTTGTGATAAGTACACAGTTTAGGGCTTCAGGACATTCTAGAGTTGTGATAAGTACATAGTTTAGGGCTTCAGGACATTCTCGAGTTGTGATAAGTACATAGTTTAGGGCTTCAGGACATCCTCAAATTGTGGGAAGTACATTTTAAAGGCTTCAAGACATTCTAAAGTTGTAGTAAGTACATATTTTGGGCTTCAGGAAATCATCAATTTGTTGTAAGTACATTTTTTAGGGCATCCTGAAGTTGAAATAGGCAGCATTTGGAGGGGACAGAGAATTCTTTGTTTTTAAGCACAGTGGGCTATTTATGCTGGGTCCATTGCAGGGATCGAACCCCGGTTGTTAGGGTTATAACACAAAGATAGCGAGATAGAATGATATTGCGAGAGTGTGATATTATAATAACAGTGAGTGGAATTGACATGCTTAATAGAAGAGAGATCCGTAAATCAGTACCGTAGAGGCAGGTTTAACAGAAATGTAGAGAGACAAAAGACATTATCACTAGGTGACAAAATAAAGCTTGATAAGTAGTAGACAGGTGTGTAATTAAGTAAAATACATACATGACACTCACCTTTGATAATGTACTAGGTGCTTGGGTACCCCCCCGTGTGGCGGCTAGACCTCGCTCAGCTGGAATAGGATAGAGTCCTTTGGGGTAAGGAGACTTCATACGGCAAGAACGTGCTGTGATATGATTGGAAGAAATGCGACAGCGTATCTGCTCCTGAGGACAGATGGCCGGTTTTGGGGTATTTTGGGACTACACGCATTCTCGTTGTCGTCGCGTGACCACGTGCTATAAATGAAATCAGATGCTTTCGATATATATATGTGTGTGTGTGTGTATATATATAATAAAACTACAGTTACAGTAAGATACTGATATAACTACAGTTACAGTAAGACACTGTAAGTAACACTAAGGTGATATAACTACAGTTACAGTAAGACACTGTAAGTAAGACTAAGGTGATATAACTACAGTTACAGTAAGACACTGTAAGTAACACTAAGGTGATATAACTACAGTTACAGTAAGACACTGTAAGTAACACTAAGGTGATATAACTACAATTACAGTAAGACACTGTAAGTAAGACTAAGGTGATATAACTACAGTTACAGTAAGACACTGTAAGTAACACTAAGGTGATATAACTACAATTACAGTAAGACACTGTAAGTAAGACTAAGGTGAT